ACACACACACACACACACACACACACACACACACACACACACACACACACACACACACACACACAGATTCGGCGTTCGACCTCCTGAATGAGTCGGTGGAAGTCCGATGAAACAGTCTGGCACGGTCTTGCTTCTTTTTTAGAGTGTATAGTGAACATGACAACACACAGAGACTAGGTTCTCAGACTTGCTGCAATTCTTGTCAGGGGTTTGGTGTCAGTGAAGAGGACCACTTTATTTTTCTTTCATGGCTATCACTAAATCTGGGTGATGTGGCGAGTCCTTGTCCACCAGTCACCTCCATCCTTGCCAGAGTGTCGGGGGTGTTCAACCTCCTCCCGAGTCGGTGAAAGTCTACCGAAACAGTCTGTCATGTCACAGTCATGTTTCTTTCTTTTTCTTTTTCTTTTTCTTTTTCTTTTTCTTTTTCTTTTAGTTTTTCTTTTTCTTTTTCTTTTTCTTTTTCTTTTTCTTTTTCTTTTCTGGAGATGCATACAGCGAACATGGCGACACACACCCGTGTTTGTGTGTCTGAATCTGATTTCTCCGCAGTCTGTTTCTCTGAATTTGATTTCTCCGCAGTCCCTTGTGGAGAGTGGACTGCTTCAGAAGCCCCCCGGGCTCTCAGAGCGTAGAAACACGACGGTCCAGATTGCAATCGAGCTTCTTTTCATTTTTCATGTGCATGATGGCATAAGCGCTTCTTAACACGATGAGCAGGAAACAACCAAGTGCCAATCGGTGACCCTCATTGGGAAATGGTTTAATGATCGGATATGGAGATGGACAAGTGTTTTCTTTGGATGCGTGGAAGCTTTTGATGCCGATGTCATGAATTTGGATGTCGATAACTGGTGTGGCCAACCTGTTTTGACGATTGTTTAATCTGTAGAGGCACTAGCATGGACATGGAGTTTGCAATCCTAGGCCTTAGTGTGAGGTGGTCGAAGAGATACCCTGTTTATCTTCTTCTTCTTGTTATCTTCTTCTTTCAATATACCTCCCACTGCCTACCTACACACCTTGATCTACCCTCCAGCGGCGAGCGAAGCGACACTAAGGGTTATGGGTTGAGCCTATCCCCTCAGGGTCGAACCTTAACCCCTGGCAATGGGTGGCATTCCCCACCAACCAACCAGGAGGGCCAAGCTGACTGTTTCAGCTGGTGAACGCGCAGCGCGCCTCAGGAGGTGTGGGGGCTCGATTGGGGATTGTGGAGAACAGAACCCACAACCTCCTGCATGCCGCTTCCACCAATTGAGCTAGGCCGCTTGGCCTTCTCTTTTTTCTTTTTTGGAAATTTTAATTTGGCCCATTTCTCGATTTATGCGTGTCATCCTTGTGCAGGCGTCATGCTAATCTCCTTTCTCTGTATCATTCCAATTTTAACAGATGCCCCGAAAACCACCCTGTTTTGCTCCTCAGAAACCTAAATTTGATTTTTTTTTTTTTTTTTTTTTTTTTGAATTGTGGTGACAATAGTAACATAGGATCGAAAAAAAGGAAAGGAAAAAAACAAAGGGAATGTAAGATCACTTGGTTATCAATAATATCAACACATACTACTAAAGCTTAGTCGCCCTCGCCGCGACGCTGCGCACTGAGCGGGTTCTTTTCGTTCGCGCTTTGGCCATACGATTTTGATCTTCGCGGCTGGTGTTGCTGGAAACCTGATTTCTTAACTGTTTTTCGAGCTCTGCTTTTGTGGCATGTCGGCTTTTTGGAGTGCTGTTGTGTCAATGCGTGTGTGCCCTCCTTGCTCTTCGCTTGTCTTTGTGTCGCGTTGCCGTCGTTGATGTCTCGGTTGTCTAGCGATTTCGCCGTGATTTGCGGTGCGTGGTGTTTGTGCAGTCGCAGCGTTGTGTTTTTTTTTCGGATGGATGTGGTCTCGATATGAGGCGCGATTCTGGGGGGGTTCTTTCTTTAGTGTGCTTGCCCGAGCTGGATGCGCCTGCCCGGATTTAGGACCGCAGGTGTGGCCCTTTCTGCACGGCTCACAAAAAATGCGAAATCGAAATGAATCTTCCACTACAAGGTCCGACGATGCACTGCTGTATCTTTCTTCTTCTGTGAATTTGGTGAGTAGTGTGGTGAGGCCTGTGCCCGGCAGAAACAAAGGGGAAAATTCATCCCCCCTGGATCGCCATTGGCCCTGTTTCTCTGGGTGAGTCGTAATCAATGCTGTTTTTCTCACTGTGGACATGTCTGACCACCCTCAGCTGCTCGGGACCCTCTTCTTCTCTACGGGACGCTACTCTCAGGTTCCAAATCAAGTCTACACGACGCTGTACGCTATAACCTGCAGTACTCTCTACTCTACACCAAACTCTTAACTCTACTCTGCTCTCTAACCTCTACTCCCGTCAACTCTTTTCTTTGCTGTCTGCTCTCTACTGTACTGTACGCGGTGTCTACACTTAATGCTGTCTACTCTGATCTTCCCTAAGCTCTACTCTGTATTTCACTCTATTGTACTCTTGTACTCTACTACTCTGTATTCCACTCTACTTTCTGCTGAGTCTACTCTTCTTTCGCTGTACTCTTAATCTCTACTCTCAGCTACTCTCAGCTCTCATACCTCCTGAATGGAATTACTCCGCCTAACCCTTTCTGTCGCGGGCGGAGCTGCGCTGGCTAATCTTGTTCCAATTAATGCATTTGCAATTCCATATCTGCTCATTATGGTTATTTCTATCGCCTGCACGACCAGCGGACCCGTCGTTCACCGAAGTTTGTTTAAGCTGGCGATGAAAGGAAGTAGCATCTATGGGGTATTATATCCTCCTCTGCACGTTGGTTTCTGTCAAGAGTCTACTGAACTATTTATGAAACAAAAATATGTGGGTAGAAACCCCTCCACATGTGTACCCACATGAGTAGAAATCCACGTGAAACCCATGTGAAACCCACGTGGGTTTATGTAGAACACAACAAACCAACAAGGGTTTATGTACAAACGTAAACCCAAACCCAAACCCAAACCCAAACCCACGTTGGTTTCTACCCACATGTGTAGAAACACCCGCGAGTGTGGTAATTATTGAAACAAGCGTCTACTGAAGTAGTTAGGAACACAAACTATTTCTTATGAACACAAATTATTTCTTATGAACAAAAACTATTCTTACGAACATAGTCAAGTCTGTTTTCCGTTGGTTGTTGTTGCTGTTCTTGTTGTTGCTTCTGCTTCTGCTTCTGCTTCTGCTTCTGCTGCTGCTGTTGGTGGTGGCTATCATCTGTTCCTGCTCCTGTTGCTACGTTTGTTTCATGCTGTTCCTGCTGTTGTGTCTGTTTTTTGTTGTGTTTTGCCAGAGTGGCGAAGTTTGTTGTTGTCGTTGTGTGTCCTTATCGTCTCTGCTGTTGGTTATCATTTCTCATATTTTTTGTTGTTGTCATTTGTTATTGTGAACATTGCCTGGTGGCGGCGGTGGTGGTGGTGGTGGTGGTGTTGATGTTGGATGTGTCGCGCAGGACAAAGCGAACGGATTCTTGCGCTTGAAAGGGACGGGGGCCACGAAACGCAGAGCAAGAGCGCTTCAGGCACGGCATGAAGACAAGGGGTTGAATGCGTCGGAGGGGCGGTTCAAGAACGGTGTACTACATGTCAGCGATCGAAATACGAAAAGGGATCGGGAAACGGCTATGGAAGGTGTAAGGGGGAAAACCCGGAAACGACAGAGGGGTGGAGGGGGGGACGATTTGGGCCCAAGTCCTGGTGGCATGCGCAAAGGCGGCAAAGCGAAAAAGCGATCATCCAAGAATAAGAAAGCCGGAGGAAAGAAGCGAAGGAGGTGATGCCAGATACATGTTTGAAATGCGAGCCTGCTCTCCGATCCAAAACCTGCGGCGGTTGCCCGGGCCAGGTCGTAGATTTCGATTGCAGGGCGCCTCTCTCCAACTCGTCTACGTCTCAAGCCGGCGCCTCTCTGCAACTCTCCTACATCGCAAGCCGACCCTGGTCAAGGGTGTGGGCTACCTGTGTGTGGGAGAAGGATGTATGGCAAATTTAGACGATGTTGCGAGGGGAGTAATGGAAACTCCTTTTTGCTTTCTTATGAAAGGTGCGTATCAAATTTAGACGATGTACTCCGTTTGCTTGCCAGGTTTGGTATGCGCAGCGATTCCAAAATTGTGTCGG